AACAGGTCCAGCTTTCCCGTATCAATCAGGTAATAGACGTGTGCAAAGGCAACCGCCCTCTTGTCCACTGACGCTGCCACACCATACGACAATTTACCAAAAAACACAATGTGTGTACATATACATGCAATGATAAAATAAAATAAAATTTATTTTAAATTTATATACGTATTCTGCTAGGAGTACGTAACAAGAGTGTGGAGGAGAGAGTGGAGGGGAAGACCAACCTGTGTTAGGGAAGCGGGAGACCCAGCGCCGCAGGACGTAGCCGTCAGTGTCCTGCAACACACCAACATTGCAACATTAGCAGAATCCTCACCAACTCCCTCACAAGTAATCTCATACACTTCACAACTCGGCCAGCTAAGTACTCAAATACACGCGCTTGACTACTACTATAAATATGCTATATTACACAAATATGCTGGATTATAATTATAATATGGATTATTCTAACAGAATTTCCTGCAGGTAGGGATATATTGAGACGTGTTCACCTGGACGTGCTCGCAAGGATGAACACTGGCTCCTTGCAGCCACTCCTCGCGCTCTAATTATATCATTCTCCGGACCGCCTCCTCCCCGCTTCCCAAAGATCAAACAAGATATTGCAATGTGTGAAAATTTGTCAACTTGCCTGCGATGGGAGGAGGTATGTGAGCCAGGCGACGCATGTATCCGGGGTGCTGAAAAAGGCCGTCATACAGAAGAGTTGTAACTGCAAAGGAAGACATCGCAACACCTTACCCGTCGACCTCTAGACGGAAGAGTAGCCAGGCTGAGCCAGTGGCAGGTAATAGCGTGGCGTCTAACACTGTACTGTGGCTGTCACACACAAGATGGTAGACGTAGATAGGCGAGAGAGAAGGCCACTTACCAGGACGTAAACATCGGCAGGTGAGAGAGAAGGCCACTTACCAGGACATAAACATCGGCAGGTGAGAGAGAAGGCCACTTACCAGGACGTAAACATCGGCAGGTGAGAGAGAAGGCCACTTACCAGGACATAAACATCGGCAGGTGAGAGAGAAGGCCACTTACCAGGACGTAAACATCGGCAGGTGAGAGAGAAGGCCACTTACCAGGACGTAAACATCGACGGGACCCTGGTAAGGCGTCATGTCCGTCCGCAGCAGCAACACTCGCATCTCAACTGTCAAGAACACAGAGTTAGTGCCTTATACCTTACTATTCTAGCCCCCCCCCCCCCTTTCCCACCATCTTAATGATACTTGTGTATTATATTCTCAATATTCGTCGTCTTAGAAGGGTCATTCATATATAAACTATTTTGTATGTAATAAATAAATGTACACAGTGTATCCTGAATTAGGAGCATAGTGAGTGTGGCTCAAGCTGAACAGTTGATAAATTATCAAATATCTCATATTTTCACACTAAACAGTTTGTCTCCAAATCGCATATTTTCCAATTTATTTCTTGATGCTCTCCACTTTCCCAATGCCAGTTTCTTAATGCATGTAATGAATTACCTTACCATTAACATTTTTATGACTTAAAAAACGTACGTTAGCGTTTTGGTGTACCTTAACATAGTATATATACTATTATATATACTATATATATATATATATATATATATATATATATATATATATATATATATATATATATATATATATATATATATATATATATATATATTAGTATATTTTGGTAGCAGTCTTTCCTGTAGACATATTTTATTAAATATGACCGAAAAAGTAAGATTAATAATTCTAACACGAATTTTCTCAATCTTTCGTACATTATGCTTCACTGTTGGAGGTAAATCAAAAATCACTTCTCCAAAATTCATTTTTATTTCTAGTCTGACGCGACACGGGCGCGTTTCGTAAAACTTATTACATTTTCAATACATTTTCAATTACATCTTACTTTTTCGGTCATATTTAATAAAATATGTCTACAGGAAAGACTGCTACCAAAATATACTAATGTTAAAGTGCACGACCCAGCAGCAAGGAATCAAGCCTTCACGATAAAATATCGCCAGGATCTGATTCGTGATCAGATATACAAGGCAGAGAATGAAATCAAAGACAAAAAAACGCAACTACTTCATGCTACAAACGAGTGGAGAAATAGCAACATCGACCATAGTATCCGTACCCGCATTGAACAACACCTCGACATCCTCACAGACCAACATCACCTCAGCACTGAAACAAGGATTATCAAGAAACTAACAACATTATATGGAGGACCTATGGCAATTCCACGACCAAGAGATGGCTTCCTGAACCTTGCAGGAATTAACCTCACTGAGGACCAAGTCACTCTCCTAAATCTGGGCATAAACTGTCATGTTATGTCCAGACCGAGTGAAATGGCCCGGAAAGTGGAGTTGGAAATTCTGTTGGACGACATATTCGACCTCGAGACACAAAAGAAGGTCACTACCAAAGATACCTTACAAGCAGAACTTATTGCAGGAGGAGGAAAGAATCGAGGCAACTACAGAAGCACCATACTGTCCCCCGAGCTTAGAGCGGCAGCTAAAAGCCTTCGTGAGAACAAGGAGATAGTTGTCAGGAGAGGTGACAAGTCGCCAATATATGTCATTCTTAAAAAAGACGAATATCTGGCGAAAATGAACATCATACTCTCTGACCAAACTAAGTTCCAAAGGGTAACGAAGGACACTACAGCCGAATTAAAAGCAAAGGTCAACAAACTGATCGAAACTGTGAACGCCAAGAAATCCGGACTCCACCTGCCAAAGATCATTGGGGAATATAAACCTGGATATGCGTATGGAAATGTCAAGACGCACAAGCCTGGAAACCCACTTCGGCCAATCATTAGCCAGATACCCACACCCACGTACAGATTGGCGAAGCGACTCAACGGCCTGCTGACTCCTTATGTTCCTTGCGCCTTCAGCCTGAAGTCTCCAAAGGAATTTGTGGACTTACTGCGGGGCGCACGGGCCACAGGGATAAGAGCCTCGTTGGACGTAGAATCGCTGTTTACCAACGTACCTGTGGACGAGACAATCGGAATGATAGCAGACAGAGTGTATCGTGATCCAGCCTGTACTCCTCTTGACATGCCAGAAAGTATTCTGAGGAAACTACTCCAAGCTTGTACTAAAGAGGCACCCTTCTTGAGCCCGGATGGGCACATGTATAAGCAAGTAGATGGGGTCGCTATGGGTTCTCCCCTAGGTGTCCTGTTTGCAAACTTCTACATGGGTACCATCGAGCAAAAAGTCTTAGTCGACATGAACTTGAAACCGGCCATATACTGCAGGTATGTTGACGACATTTTTACACAGGTACCTGATGTCAGACATCTGCAGGAGCTGAAGGAGGCATTTGAGCAGAGTTCCGTGCTGCGTTTCACTTACGAGACGGAAAAGGATGGGAAGCTGCCTTTTCTAGATGTAACAGTCATGGAAAAGGGCGGAGGTTTCCACACTGCAGTCTACACAAAGGAAACAAACATAGGAATGTGCCTAAATGCCAACAGCGACTGCCCTGACAGGTACAAGAGGAGTGTTGTTAACGCATACGTTGACCGTGCTCTCAGCCACAGCTCAGAATGGAAGCAAGTCGACGAAGAACTCTGTAGGGTAAGGCAGGTTCTAGTCAATAACGGCTTCTCCAATGGTTTCATCGAAGACATCATAAGAAGGAAAGTGAAAAGCCATGCAACCTCCGAAGAGACAACTAACACAACACCTATACCCCCTATTAGACTATTTTACAGGAACTTCTTTTCCACAGCTCATAAAACAGAGGAAAGGGTCCTGAAAGATATTGTTAATAGAAACGTTATCCCTACAGACAAAATCAGAGGATACAACTGACGATTTACTATAAAACCAGAAAAACGGCCAGCCTACTCATGAGAAACTCTCCAGACACGAAACAGAACGCTTTAAAAGAGACTAACGTCGTCTATGCCTTCAAATGCCCACTTGGGGACTGTAAGCCCCAAAAAACCCAGTATATAGGCAAGACAACAACATCTCTTTCTAGGCGTTTAACGATGCATAAACAACAGGGCTCCATTAAGGAACATATAATCTCTTCCCATAACCAAACCATCGCCAGAGAAATCCTAGTAAACAACACAGAAATCATCGATAGATACAGCGATAGCAGGCGGCTCGACGTTTGCGAGGCACTACACATCAAGAAGTCAACACCAGCAATCAACAGCCAATTATTGCACAACTATATTCTACCCACCTCAAGACTCCGCTCCAATATAGAAGCATCAAGAAATATGGACCAATAGGCTTTCTACAAACACTTCTATTCAATATCCATTGTTTCGTGTTCTGTCTTGTGTTGATACTTTTAATACCCTATTAATATCCTCTAATGCCACATCATCCTTCCCACCTTACTCAAATGTAATGCCACATCACCCTTCCCACCTCACTCAAATGTAGATATAAAATCAGGGAAACGCAAGTTCTAATCAGTTGTGTATTTGTGAAGTCTTTGAAAATGTAATAAGTTTTACGAAACGCGCCCGTGTCGCGTCAGACTAGAAATAAAAATGAATTTTGGAGAAGTGATTTTTGATTTACCTCCAACAGTGAAGCATAATGTACGAAAGATTGAGAAAATTCGTGTTAGAATTATTAATCTTACTTTTTCGGTCATATTTAATAAAATATATATATATATATATATATATATATATATATATATATATATATATATATATATATATATATATATATATATATATATATATATATATATAATCCTATAGGAATAAATCTATATTATTATATATTGATCTTGGAATTATTGAGGAATAATTCTATATTGATACATGTTGATCGTGCTTTTGCAGGAAAAAAAGGAGTCTTTGGCAGGCAAAATATTCTTGGAAGAGCCGTGCACTTTGACGCAATGTTTCTTATGACGCTGTGACACACACTATGTCACCTTGGAAAGAAAAAGTCCAAGTCTTTGTTCAGATTGCCAAAGCAATTTTGCCTCTAGTAATCATGGGTCAGGGCACCTTGTAACGTGTCAATGAAATTACCACTTGTCCAGAGGCGTTTGGAAGGCTTGATGGACAAGTTAGTCCCTATGATTGTATCATAGTTCACTGAAGATTACCGGCTGGAGCATTAATCTATCTGAAGCTGTATGCACTTGGGGATGTTTGAAGCGCCTGTAAAGGTTGACGTGTAACACAGAGTTAACGAGTATTCTCCGAATGTCCACCGGCGGTATCAGCCATCCCAGGAAAGGTATAATGGCAGGATAACACGAGGTTATCATCACTACCAGACAATGATACCTCTCTTTGAACACAAAGTGCACAAGTAAATCATATTTGCTTTCAACAAATTTTGCTTAATTATGTTTTATAAATTAGAATGTCTCTTAGAGGTTGTAGGAGCACACATTCTAAGGGACTAAGCCAAGTCCCTTTGACTTAGCCCCATCTAATTTTTAGCAGGAATTGCTGTTGGATACTTGCTTAAGTAGAAAGGAAGAGGGGAAAGAAAGAAAGAGAGAAGAGGAGAGAGAGAGAGAGACAAGAGGCAGATCCACCACCACCCATCCCGCCACACATACCACCCCGCTAACATCTCTCAATTACACCCCAATCCATATGAGTCGCAATCACGTGTCGCAAACCTATATCTCTGGTAAGAGGGAGACACGAAAACAAATGTGAAATTCCTGGTGCTACCCGGACACCGCCGGGTATCCCACCTAGTCTGTCACTAAAAAAAAGATGATGTCTTTCTATCTGTTCGAGGTAGGGAGGGTGATGCTTGAGGATAAGCTAACCATATTTTGCAGGGTGACAGCACGGTCAGGGTCGAGCCCCATGCCACCCCGCTTTGAATCAAATGTCAAATTACACATTTATAATCTCACTAAATACCAGCCTCCATTCTCACTAAGACTCATACAGAATATTATTTTCTATACGATTATTTGTTACATTCTCTTATGTAGTTTATGGATGAAGACAGTTTAGTGAAAATGTTACAGGCATGCAGCGAAGGTGAAGGGTAGGGGAAGGTAGTGAGGAGAAGGAATGTGATGTAGGAGAGTGTGGGGGGTTGAAGAGTAAGGAAAGTGGTCTGGCTGTCGGTGTAGTGTCCATCTGGTGTGTAGGAGTGTACTTACTGGTCTGGCCGCCAGTGTAGACAGGTCTGGAGGTCTCGACGAGGACAATGAGGTGACGTGGGGTGGTGGCCACGTGGGTGGTGTTTGTAAACAACAGCTGGGTACCAAGGCGGCCCTCCACGCGCAGGCGCAAACCACTCCCGTCCTTCGCGCCAATCCCGCTCGGAATCTGATCAAAACACCTCTAGTAGATCTATCTATATATCTATCTACTAACACGTTTATTATAAACACAAGTATATGTTGTTACTAGGGAAAGTGTTCGAAGTGTTGTCAATACCAACATAGAATATTAAATGTTGGCTTGCTCTAAATTTCTAAGCCTCACTCAGTGAATTATATTCTCAATAAATATTTAAAAAACCCACATAAAACAAAATCATAATTTAATATATTAAACTGATGTACTTTACATGTAGACTCGTGCAATAAATAAACACTAAATTCCCAAATATAATTGAAAGTGATTATACATTTGTGGACTTCTAGAATGTCTCCACAAACTTGATAGTTTTTGTGTCGCTTAAACTCTATCGTACGGATGATGACCACTTTGAGGGACAGTGACGAACACAGTACAGGACAACACTGACAGTATAGGACCAGTACCACTGACAGCATAGGACCAGTACCACTGACAGCATAGGACCAGTACCATGACAGTATAGGACCAGTACCATGACAGTATAGGACCAGTACCACTGACAGCATAGGACCAGTACCATGACAGTATAGGACCAGTACCATGACAGTATAGGACCAGTACCCTGACAGCATAGGACCAGTACCCTGACACTGGGGCTTTTATTACAGTCCGTGAATAAAAACTTAACTGGAAAGATCAAGCGCTCAACCAAACAAGTTTTTCTGTTTATTTTTCAGTTCAATGATCCCCTATTAGGTTAGTGAAGGTTAAGTTAGGATAGGTTAGGGTAAGTTAAGTAATGGTTAGGTTAGCTTTTGGCGAGGTGCAACACCTAACTTGGCGCCGCCAACCTCGTCTCTGCTTCTATCCTGTTTTCTCTATAGCTCAGTAACACGTTCAGTCTGGCCTATCAACACAGGACTAGACCCACTGACCTGATTACACTGACCTTCATGGTGATGTACTCTGAACATGCACTCTGACCTTCATGGTGATGGACTATGAACATGCACTCGGCTACTGACCTTCATGATGATGGACTTCATCTCCCCCGGGGCGAGGAGATCGTGTCCCTGGGCCACGTGGCGTGAAGTCTCTGGGTGGGTGAGCGTGGCGTGTACTGTGACGGGTCCCCGCGCCTCTCCCAGCACGCCCACCACCACGCCATACACGGAGTCTGGCCGCGCCACCGTCGGCGCCACCACCAAGTACGACCTGCAGGGGAAATGGTCACAGCTAGGGTCACCAGCCGCTACCGTCTGGTCACAGCTAGGGTCACCAGCCGCTACCGTCTGGTCACAGCTAGGGTCACCAGCCGCTACCGTCTGGTCACAGCTAGGGTCACCAGCCGCTACCGTCTGGTCACAGCTAGGGTCACCAGCCGCTACCGTCTGGTCACAGCTAGGGTCACCAGCCGCTACCGTCTGGTCACAGCTAGGGTCACCAGCCGCTACCGTCTGGTCACAGCTAGGGTCACCAGCCGCTACCGTCTGGTCACAGCTAGGGTCACCAGCCGCTACCGTCTGGTCACAGCTAGGGTCACCAGCCGCTACCGTCTGGTCACAGCTAGGGTCACCAGCCGCTACCGTCTGGTCACAGCTAGGGTCACCAGCCGCTACCGTCTGGTCACAGCTAGGGTCACCAGCCGCTACCGTCTGGTCACAGCTAGGGTCACCAGCCGCTACCGTCTGGTCACAGCTAGGGTCACCAGCCGCTACCGTCTGGTCACAGCTAGGGTCACCAGCCGCTACCGTCTGGTCACAGCTAGGGTCACCAGCCGCTACCGTCTGGTCACAGCTAGGGTCACCAGCCGCTACCGTCTGGTCACAGCTAGGGTCACCAGCCGCTACCGTCTGGTCACAGCTAGGGTCACCAGCCGCTACCGTCTGGTCACAGCTAGGGTCACCAGCCGCTACCGTCTGGTCACAGCTAGGGTCACCAGCCGCTACCGTCTGGTCACAGCTAGGGTCACCAGCCGCTACCGTCTGGTCACAGCTAGGGTCACCAGCCGCTACCGTCTGGTCACAGCTAGGGTCACCAGCCGCTACCGTCTGGTCACAGCTAGGGTCACCAGCCGCTACCGTCTGGTCACAGCTAGGGTCACCAGCCGCTACCGTCTGGTCACAGCTAGGGTCACCAGCCGCTACCGTCTGGTCACAGCTAGGGTCACCAGCCGCTACCGTCTGGTCACAGCTAGGGTCACCAGCCGCTACCGTCTGGTCACAGCTAGGGTCACCAGCCGCTACCGTCTGGTCACAGCTAGGGTCACCAGCCGCTACCGTCTGGTCACAGCTAGGGTCACCAGCCGCTACCGTCTGGTCACAGCTAGGGTCACCAGCCGCTACCGTCTGGTCACAGCTAGGGTCACCAGCCGCTACCGTCTGGTCACAGCTAGGGTCACCAGCCGCTACCGTCTGGTCACAGCTAGGGTCACCAGCCGCTACCGTCTGGTCACAGCTAGGGTCACCAGCCGCTACCGTCTGGTCACAGCTAGGGTCACCAGCCGCTACCGTCTGGTCACAGCTAGGGTCACCAGCCGCTACCTTCTGGTCACAGGGGTCACCAGCCGCTACCTTCTGGTCACAGGGGTCACCAGCCGCTACCTTCTGGTCACAGGGGTCACCAGTCTTCATCACTTTAATGCAGTGGCAAATTGAGGAAACTAACTGGACTTGTGTTCGTTGCAGTTCACCCACTAATTAAGTGGCCAACACACGTCAACCACCATCATTACGTTCCTTAAAGTAGTTGGGATGGGAGGCCAGGTATAGTAGTCCAGGTCTGGGTATATTAGGGGCGAGTCAGGCGATTGAACTGCAAGTTGTGGACCACCTCACTCGAGTCTTTAGTAGGCACGAGAATACTGTAGGCGACTCCGGTGTGAGTCAGCAAGACTAGCTTAGTGTTGTTGACTTAGGGTCGACGACCATCATGGGATCTGGTCCGCCTCTGCGTATCCGGTAAAAGTTAATCACGAAGCCAAGGGGTGAAATGAATGCAGCTTATCAGCGGAAACTAATGTGCCTCGCGGCCTATAAACGCACAGACAGGCAGATGATTGGGAGTCCAGTCATCTACCTGTCTGTGCTGGTGCTCGTCACCCTGAGAGACTCAGGGTGACAAGCACCGCACCCCCCCCCCCCCACCACACACACACACGCAACACCGGGTAGCAAAACCAAAAACTCTGCCTCCAACTAAAAATAAAAAAGTAATCCAGTGCCCTCCGGCAGATCAAGCCAGCCGCCCACCACGTCTGAGGACACACTGGGAGCCCACCTGGTAACCAGAACAGCACACTAGAAGATGGGGAAACTAATATTAATGGGAGGGTCAACTATTTTAACTCGGAACCTGGAACATAGATGGCGCCGAAGTCCGTCACACACACACACACACACACACACACACACACACACACACACACACACACACACACACACACACACACACACACACACACACACACACACACACACACACACAGTATGACGGTTGTTGGTGCGTCAGTATAGCACCTGTTGTACTTGACACTGTAGGCGAGTCCGGGTGTTGATGATGACAGTGTTGAAGGTTAAAAAAGAGTGACCCCCTCTCGCCTCCTTGCCGATGTTGGGCATCTTCAGCTGGTCTGGATCTCCTGCCTTGGTGGATCACCTGGATCACCTCAATATTTTACTTCAATCAGATATTCTTAGAGTTGACAGACGGGTAGAGTGTGATAGAATGAGCGAGTGTGTAGTTCTCAGCACCAGCGACCTGGGGAACCTCAATGAGGAAGTGGGAAGTGATCCACGCGGCTTTGGCCGCATCACAACGGGTAGTGAAACCGGGGTTGTGGCTCCATCGGAGTTTTCTCTAATTCTAAGCTTTCAAAATGAATTCATTGGAAGGGGTTTTGAGGAGGTGGCTATTAGATGATACCCTATAAGAGCATGTTGGTAAAGGAGGGCGTGAGAGGTGCTTGGTATCACGGCACAGGGCCAGGAAAGTGCTCGGCGCCACATCCTGGCCCCATGCCTGGCCTGGTGACGGTAAACGCTGTACATTCCTTGTGCTGACGACACATACGTCACGTCAAGCAACCACTCTAGTGACGTCTAATGTGAACAAATCAGTCAACAGTCCAGAGTTAAACACGTTGGTCATCACTCCTCAGCGTTGAAGGTCATAAAGCTTCTCAAAAAAGTCTCTTGGCATTTGAAACAGTTTATACTCGAGATGTGATTCACGTTAAGTCATCTCTACATGAGGCTGTACCGGGTGTTACACAGATGGACGCCACCTGCCTGTGTGGGCCTCTATGCAAGCCAGTCTTTGTCACGTAATTACTCCCCGCTGTGAGTAAGGAAGGTAGTAAACACCTCACCACGAGTGAAGGAGGTAGTAGACACCTCACCATGAGTGAGGCAGGTAGTAGACACCTCATTATGAATGAGGCAGGTAGTAGACACCTCACCATGAATGAGGCGGGTAATAAAAACTTGGTCGGAAGTACCGTTAAGCAGGCAGACGACCTTGCGGTTTTGCCATTTAAAAAAAATATATATTTATTAAACATTTTCATTAGATATTCAGCATTCAGACGAGTAACAGTCTAATGGACAACCTTGACGTAAATATATGTAGACTCTGTGAGTACGTGACTTGTTTGTCACCCGAGTCTAAACAAGACCAGAGGATCAGAGACACACGTGACGTTATTTAAAGATACAACCTTATCAAATGTGACATATTTTGAGTTGGGTGATTGTGATGTGTGTGGAGTGTGACTCGCGGTGTATGTGGAGTGCAGGACGGGAAGTGAAGCGTATTCTGTGTGTGTGTGTGTGTGTGTGTGTGTGTGTGTGTGTGTGTGTGTGTGTGTGTGTGTGTGACCAGTGTTGTGTGTGTGTGTGTGTATGTGACCAGTGTGTGTGTGTGTGTGTGTGTGTGATCAGTGTTGTGTGTGTGTGTGTGTGTGATCAGTGTTGTGTGTGTGTGTGTGTGTGTGTGTGTGACCAGTGTTTGTGTGTGTGTGTGTGACCAGTGTTTGTGTGTGTGTGTGTGATCAGTGTTGTACATCCTCCCAGACTCACCCCTTTGCTCTTGATAATTACTGCCCGGCTTCCCACAAGGACCTTAACTTGTAATGTGGGCATAAATATAATGATGATGACTAGTGTATGCCATTATGTGTGTGGCCAGGTGATGGGTACTGAGGGTCCCCCCCAACACTGCCGTCTACGGAAACACTGGTGGCGCCACGGGCACCTGGTGCCGTCTTCCGCGCCACTCACTCACTTGCCTTGTAAAAAAAAAAAACCTGTCAGTCCTGTGTGGGCAGCGGGTAAAGTCCCTCTCTGCTCCCAGGACCCCCAGCCTTGTCTGTGACCTTCTCTTACTGGACCCCCAGCCTTGTCTGTGACCTTGTCTTACTGAACCCCCAGCCTTGTCTGTGACCTTGTCTTACTGATCCCCCAGCCTTGTCTGTGACCTTGTCTTACTGAACCCCCAGCCTTGTCTGTGACCTTGTCTTACTGATCCCCCAGCCTTGTCTGTGACCTTGTCTTACTGATCCCCCAGCCTTGTCTGTGACCTTGTCTTACTGATCCCCCAGCCTTGTCTGTGACCTTCTGTTACTGGGTCCCCAGCCTTGTCTGTGACCTTGTCTTACTGAACCCCCAGCCTTGTCTGTGACCTTGTCTTTCTGGGTCCCCAGCCTTGTCTGTGACCTTCTCTTACTGGGTCCCCAGCTGTCTGTGACCTCTCCCTGGGTCCCCAGCCACTGTAGCAAGCATCGTTTTGTCTCTAATGTGTAACAGAATCTCACTCAAAGATGAAGATGCCATCCTTACTGAAGGATCCTTGAAGATGCCATCCTTACTGAAGGATCCTTGAAGATGCCATCCTTACTGAATTGGAGGTAGGATTACATCCGTCTCTCACCTGCAGCACACACCGAAGGACACAGGTAGGCAGATGAGCTATATAAACTCTGATAACAGAGTTTCCAAGAAGAGTCTCAAGGTTTGATATACCAATGCTAATGGGGTATCCAATAAAGCAGAGGAAATAAAAGAAAGGGTAAGTGAAGCAGATCCAGACATAATTGCAATAGTGGAAACTAAAATATATGTGATCTCGGATGTGATCTTCCCAGAGGGATACCAAGCGATAAGGAAAGAAAGGACAGAAAGAGAGGGAGGGAAAGTAGCACTCTTCATGAAGCGGAA